CCCTACCACCAATCTTAACACTCTCTCTTATTCCTCTCTTCTTCCTCCGGTGACATTTTTGTTGGAGACTTTGTTTCTCGCCGGCTCTTCTTCTTGCGTTACCTCCAAGTTTTGGAGATCGTCCTTTCTGTTTTTGTTTTTGTGATCATCCATGCTTTGAGGCAAAAGAAACGTTTCGGCCTACCCATATGGCCGTTCTTAGGAATGTTACCTTCATTGGTGTGTGGTCTTCGGAGCAACATGTACGAGTGGATTACTGATGTGCTTCGCCATCAAAATGGGACTTTTAGGTTTAGAGGTCCTTGGTTTAGTAATCTCAATTGTGTTGTGACTTCAGATCCTCGCAACTTAGAGCATCTTCTCAAGACCAACTTCTCTAATTTCCCCAAAGGAAATTACTTTCATGACACGGTTAGCGATCTTCTTGGGAATGGAATATTCAGTGCAGATGATGAGATATGGCAAAGGCAGAGAAAGACTGCAAGCATTGAGTTCCATTCAACCAAGTTCAGGAAACTGACAGTTGAGTCATTGCTTCAACTCGTGCATCATAGGCTCTTACCCATTCTTGAAAACTCATCGAGCAACTCAATTTCTCTTGATTTACAAGATGTCCTGCTAAGGCTAACATTCGATAATGTTTGCATGATAGCATTTGGGGTTGATCCTGGATGTTTGCGTCTAGGTTTACCTCATATTCCATTTGCTCGAGCCTTTGAGGACGCAACTGAGGCCACCGTGATACGCTTTGTTACACCCACGTGTATATGGAAAGCTATGAGATATTTTAACCTTGGAACTGAAAAGAAGTTAAAGAGATCGATAAAGGGTGTCGATGAGTTTGCTGAACAAGTTATCAGGACAAGGAGCAAGGAATTATTGGAGGAAAACAGCAACGAGAATCAAAGATCAGATCTTTTGACAGTGTTCATGAGAATGAAAGATGAGGAGGGACGGCCTTATTCAGACAAGTTCTTACGTGATATTTGTGTAAACTTTATTCTTGCAGGGAGAGACACATCGTCAGTTGCTTTAAGCTGGTTTTTCTGGTTGCTTGACAAGAATCCAGCTGTCGAGGATAAAATTCTGGGAGAGATATGCAGGATAGTGAGAGAAAGAGAGGACGTCAAAAATGGAGAAAGTATCGAAAATCCGCTGATAATTAGACCAGAGGAGATTAAAAAGATGGAATCTTTACATGCTGCCCTATCAGAAGCTCTAAGATTGTATCCTTCCGTGCCTGTGGATCACAAGGAGGTAAATGGAATTCATTATTTTAATCTTTATCCTTTTCAATTTTTACTCAATAATTAACCTAATACATGCATATATAAGATATATATATATATATATATATATGTCTTATCAACTATTATTTGAGTGATTATTTCTATCATTTTCTATAAAAAATATAAGTTTAAATTGTAGATTGAACTTTTTATGTGTCATTATTAGGAGATTGTGTTATCATTATTATTAAAAAGTATCTGTTGTGTATATCAATTTTAAGAAGTTATATTATTATTAATATAGAAATACCATTCAATTAGCAAAATAAATGAATTTATATTATATAAATATAAATATTGCATATGGTGGAAGGTGGTTAACCTAGTTCAGGCCCATATAAGAGATATATATATACACACGTGTATATATGATCAACTATTGCTTGATTGAATGGTGTTTAGTTATATTTTTTCGGTAAGAGTTGGATTCGAGCTGTGAATTATGCATTTGTTTATTTTTATTAAGAGATTGCATTATCATTATTAAAAATATTATATCTATCATTATTGGAAAGTTGTATTATTTTTAGTATACATATATTACTTGATTGGTGAAGTAAATAATTTATACTAAATAAATATAACTATTGCATACAGGTTTGAGTTGAAAACTCATAAAAAGAAGTTCTATTTTGAAAGAAAAGACCACACTTACATTAATATAGAAAGAAACATTACAACGCCACACGCTCAAAGCTGTGTATTTCTTGTCTGCTTAGGTTGTTAAAGACGATGTATTTCCAGACGGGACAGTGCTAAAGAAAGGAACAAAGGTAATATATGCAATTTATGCAATGGGAAGAATGGAAGGCATATGGGGGAGTGATTGCAGAGAATTCAAGCCAGAGAGGTGGCTGAGAGATGGCCGATTTATGAGCGAATCCGCCTACAAATTCACTGCCTTCAATGGCGGCCCACGGCTGTGCTTGGGAAAAGACTTTGCCTACTACCAAATGAAATTTGCAGCTGCATCTATCATCTATCGTTATCGTGTGAAGGTGGTGGAACATCATCCAGTCGAGCCAAAACTTGCTCTCACGATGTACATGAAGCACGGTTTGAAGGTGAATTTACTCAAAAGGGAAGCCTCTGAACTTCAAAAGCACTTTGTTAATAACATAAAAAACTAATATGGTTGTGTCTTCATTCATAGTTTTTCTTCCAAAATAAAAAAAAAAAGGAAATATAAGTTTTTATTAGTATTGCAGTATATATATATATATATATATATATATACACACATGAAATTAGATTGTTGCATATGATTTGGTATTATAAGTGTACAAGAGACAGATTGGATTTTATTACTTTGAGTTAGGATGATATGAATAATGGATTATTTGGCATTGATTAGATTATCCATAATTATTCTGCTTCATTTTATATTCAAATCTGAATATATCAATTGTTTCAAATTTCTCTGCAGAAATGCAATTAAGTTCAAGCTCTTTTACTATTTTTTTAAAAGATAAAATTGAGCTCAAACTTCAAGTTGCATCAGACAAGGCAAATTCGAGTTTGAATTGATTTTTGACTTTGAGATTATTTGAAAAATCAAATTTAAATATCAAGTATTCAGCTCGAGCTCCTTGTCACTCTTAGTTTTAACATTTTCGGCGAGATCAGTGCCAAATGCTCGACTTCATCATGCTTTATGTTTTCTTAGAGACGATATAACTTGATTTTTATTGGAGAAAAAATATACAATATGTAATTTATTCCTTATATAAATTACTAGATTTTCTCGTTAACTCATTTCTATCTACACATTCTTTTCTAATTAATGGTTTTTACATGAGAATTTTTTTCTCCTCTCCTTCCATTTCCCCATTCCAAATGGACCATAAAGTTGTAAATCATACGACTTGAATCCTGCATACCAAAAGAGAATTCAATTGAGTATCGAACAAGTTTGAAATTACCCTCCATCAAGCTTGAGGGTTTTGAGCCATGTAAGTCTGTAAACACACTTCAGTTGGTAAATGCAGTTCACCAAATCAATCAATTTTCCAGGACGTCCTATTTTGTTGCTAGCTAGAAGCAAACTATTTTCTTATTTTTGTTCAACAGCTATTCTACCTAAAATTTCCTGAAAGGAAGAATGAGAAAAGAAAAAGACTAATTAAGAAGTAAATAGTTTTATTACTCGAGTATAACAAAATTCAACTTCCTTAATAAAATTTATGGATGGCATATCAAAGTGGCAATCCATTAGGTACGGTATTAGAACCGTTGATAGATTAAGAATTAAACAAAGACCCTCTAAGCGTACGTGATGCAGCTACGTTATGATACAGATATAACATAAAACTATAGGCAAAGGGTTGCCAGCAGCTAGTATGCAGTAGATAAGGACCATACCGGTCAAGCCGTTCCATCCCACTCATCATAAAACTCTTTCAAGAATTGCTCCATGAACTTATGCCTTTTCTCAGCCCTCCTTTTACCGGCCTGAAATGTTCAATTATACTTAAACCCAAAATACACCAAGATTTCAATGTTAGATACACACTTTTATCTGCAAATTTGAAGAAACAGCCAGTATACCTCTGTTTTCATCAAATCCTTCAACTTGAAAAGCTTCTCGTGAAAGTGATTCACAGTAGTCTGGTCCTCTTTCTTCATGTATTGTTCCTTGGATAGATCTGATCTTGGATGAATGGCAGGATCATGAAGAACTCTGTTCCTGCTTCCACCAAAAGTGAAGCAACGAGCAATTCCTGCAAGAGAAAAAAAGTTTAAGAGCTTGTTCGACAGCCAAATAAACTAGAAATTGCAAGAATAATAAACATTCAAATACGAGGGTTGGTCAGAAAAACCCTCAACCTTTTGTCTTAATCTAAGGAAATTAATATTCCTAAAAACAATGGGATACTAGTTATAGAATCACATTCACATGGAGATTTGATTTGATTTGCTGTAATTAATTTCTTACTTTTTCTCATTGTAACAACTCCATGTCATTCTCCTTCTCAATATACAAAAAATTCAACTACTTTCGAAGTTCCACATTATTAAAGCCCTAGGCTCCTTTCCAGCACACATCCGTCCAGGTGCACATTAGTTCTCTCTGCATGTACCTGTGCACATCAAAGCATTCGTTCCAAATGTTTATCCTCTATGCTCGCACATCTTTTTTCCCATGATTTTTTTCACCACATAGCAGACACCAACCTACATTGCTGGCTCCTCACTGCATATGAATGCTCTGTCTGCATCCTCAATCTCCAGGATCCATGTTGGACCTCTCTGTTGTCAGATCCTTGCAAAAGGAGAAATGATGCGCCATTCTAAAGAAGATGTCAGAAATGACAAAGATGACCTTGGATTATCCTAAAGTCCAAAAACAAAGACCACATGCTTTTTGTTACCTGAATTGCCTGCCTAGTTCTTACTTTTCTCCATCAATAGAAACTCTGGCTCACCTCTTTGTACAACCATAATAACTAATGATTTATTGTATAACTGATTTGAAGGATCAGTTACCAAAGTGTCAAACAATCTCCTCTATATTAATTGTAGCTGCTAATTGTGCTTGATTCAGACTTTCAAAAAGAACTGCGAGTTTACTTTTCTGTCCCCATCAAGCTCTTCATGCTCTCTGTCATCACTACTATGTTTGTGACGTCTGATGCAAATTTCAT